TGGCGCGTTAATAGACGAATCAGCGTAAGAGATGACTGTCATTACCAGAAAACAATGTACTGTTTTGGGAATGGATAGATGATGACCAATGCCTTTTAAGGCACGTCTCACGTTCCTGATCCGGAACATTTGAATGGATAGGGGATGGACAAATAGACTAGTGTAGGGAAAACGGTATAAAAAATTAAAGCATAAGCACCCTTTCTGCCGTTGCAAGAGAATCAACCTCATTCCCTTTGGAATCTGTAAGCCATGACGTGAGGTGAATGCATAGGTAATGACGAGACAACGAAGATTCAGATCGGAGGGAATGGGTGGGCTCAAAAGGCGTGCTCGGATGTTAGACTTTGTTGCATCCTTTTTACGAGATAGTAAAATCGGTTGTCGGTTCTGATGAGTGGGTTTAGCTTGGAGACAAACCAGAGACTGGTTGCCGATTGACGAGACCCTCCATTTTTGCAACCAGTTTTCACCGTCATTTGCCCACTCTTCTAGATCTTCAGAGAGGGTCCATGTTAACAGAGGTTTTGACAGTTCTAGATACGAAGATAAAATGGTTTCGATTAGAGAGACAGCGTTAAGTCCATAAAATTAGCGGTAGTACTTCGGACCTTTAATTTGAAATAAGAAAACACATATGAGCTGTAAGTAAATGAGCGAGAGAGTTTCAGAAATCATCGTGATAAATGGTAATTAACCATTGTGCTTTGACAATTCAACTTCCAGTAAAAACTCATCACTTCAGACTGATGAAAAACTGCGAAGGAAATAATAGAGGGAATAGAAAAAAAACCGACCACTTGGGAGCGAGAGGATTTCTAGGTTAACAAAGTGAAGTAAAAAAAACGAGTTACTCAAAGCCAGACAAGTTACAATGAAATGGGCACCCTTTCTGACTTTGCAAAAGACCTAAACACATAGGCCTCAGAATTTCCAGCTCAGAATCAAAATTTAACAAAAAGGTAATTGAGAGGCAGCGTAGACTAAGACGAGCAAGTCAGAGGGGTCAAGAGACGCGCTTGAATGATAGTTTCAGCCGGGAAATCTTGTTCTAAGAGGAGAATCGACCGTCGACTACGATGAAAGATTATTGCGTGAAGAAATAAGAATTTCTGATTGGCAATCTGTGACACCCATTTCTGCAACCAGTTATCACTATCATGCGTCCACTCCTTCACATCTTCAGCAAGTGTCCATGTCAAGAAGGAGCCCGGCGGTTTTTGATGCAAATGTAAAACGGTATTGGTCAGGAAGACAACTGAAACATCAGGGAGTTGAATAAACATCCGGGAGTGTTGTAGGTGGCTGAACATAAATCAGCAAGTTCAGAGCGTTTTATTCGATGCTCACGTAGTAAATACAACTCCTTTCGA